GGGCTTCTGTTTAGGACTATGCTTCCTCCTCACCGTGACCCAGCCGCCCTCTTTCCCCAGCTGCTTGGGGTCTGCCGGGGAACAGCTAGCGGGGCCTACGCTATCTTCGGCTGCACCAGCTACAGGGGCCTGGCTAGCTATGGGTGAATGAATAAAGTCTATAGTCCTATAAAAACACAAACAAAAAAAACATCTAAACCTGGATCTCTAATATTTCAAATTCCTACATTATAAATGCAACAGGAGTGCCAGCGTAACAGTACTGGTAAGTGAGTTAAAGACAGACCTTGGTCATCATATCACAGCTCATGTCTGCCAGACACCTATTCAGGTGCTAATGCTCAGGAGGGAAAACAGAGGGGAATAAAATGCCCTTAAAGCCAAGGTAGAAAGGGGTAGAAATGTGTGTCACTAACTGGATGCCATGATCCTGGGTCTTTGACCCACTGTCTTGTGTTTTCAAGGTTGTTTTTTTAATGAAATATTTTCTGTTTGAATCTTGGCTTGCTTGCTGTTTCTTCCCCAGAACGGTGATACTGTTTATTTAGACATTGAGTTTTCTTGAGTCTTGAGACTAAAGAAGTCACATATCTAGATGAATTAACTTGGGGTTTATGGATGGCAAGTATCATAACACTTGTTTATTAACTTCTGTCTATCACAGCTAAACTGAGGTGAGTTGAGGATATCCTGAACTGTTGTTTTTGATACTGTTAGCTGGTGTAAGCAAAACTGGAATCTAACAGACTTGTTAAGCCTTAAACACTATCCAAATAGACCCTTATATGATGTGAATAAGTAAGCATGTTTACGTGGGTTTTCATGTTTCAGAAACTCCAGTTTAGAAGGTAGGCTTGAGGTAATAATGAAAATATATGCATACAAATGTGGAATTGCTACATATAAACTTAAAACATAAAGCAAAGAATTTGTATTTGGTTACTTGTTTGTTATAATAATGCTTCTTGGCAATATATCATATACCGTTGGTGTCAAAATCATTTTAGTTGTGGGTGACATACAACCCACTTTGATCTTAAGCAGCCGGACCAGTAAATTCTCCATTCTGTCAGTGTAAAGAAGTTACATATTTAACTGTTATTCTACATGATAAAGAAAAAGCTGCTGTAAAAAACAAAGAAAGCTGTCAGCACGACTCGTTGGACTTAAATTGTAAGAAATAAATGTGTAGAATGATAGAAAAACTTGTGGTAGCTCATTGCCCAGACTCTTCAGTTTTTGTGTTTGTTTGTTTTGGGGTTTTTTTTTTTGGTTTTTTTTTTTATAAACTGTAGCTGTAACCCTCCCCCAGAAATGTCTGTAATAGAAAAATTTTTTTTATTAGAAATATAGCATTTTGTATATTTATTATAAGTGTTTGCAATTTGGCATAATTTGTGAAAGGTTACATTTCTTCATTATTAAATAGCATAAATAACCCTGTAAACACCTTTAGTAAATTCAACAGTAAATATATATAAGAGAAAATATATATTACTGTAATTATTCCTACAGTAAATTTGTTTTACAGTAGTAAACTGACCTAGGTGAAACTGACCAATGGCTATAGAGATTTCTTTCAAACTTTCTTCAACTGTTTTGTGGGACTGACATTGAAAAGAAAAATGATTGTTTTCTGGAGAAAACATTAATTCAAAAAAAGAGTACTATGTTCTTATTATCCTCAAACAATTTTTTAGACACACATGCTTCTAACTTGATTCGCTTCCTCTCAACTTTCTTACAAAAGGCAGCACTAACTGTTTATAAAGATAGAGGAGTCGTGTATTGTCATACACTGGTTATTAGCTTACATTGGTTATTGAGCCCAGCAAATAGTTTTGGCCTTATTACCTTCTGAAAATTATTTGTTAATGCTGTCACTGTTAATGCCATTAGTATATGATACTAATGTTTAACTGTTTGCTATCTATCCTGTGAAGAGGTTGCCTAATATTACTAGTTACAAGTTATTTAAACATAATTTGTATTTGGAAAAGCTTTGTTTTATATCTTCTTTCTTAAAGCTTTTGGCCCGAGTCACTATTTGTGAGGTGTTCACTGGAGCCTTTTGTGCCTGGTATCTGGATTAGGTTTGGTTTGGAACTGCTGTGAAAACTCAGCGGGTGAGTAAGCTGTTGTAACTAAATTAACTGAAGTCAATCTAAGCGAAACGACAAATCTAAGGTGCATATATGTTCCTTGCCTACTAAGTTTGGTTGGGGGGGGATCAGTATTTAGTAACTTTGGAATAAAAGAAAACTTAAAAATAAAGTTTTTATCTTCATTCCCCCTCACCACCTTCCTAACGCGTGGTATAACTAACACTTTTCTAATGCTTGTCACATGACTAACATTAGCGTTTAACGTTAAGTTTAAACCCATATGCCTTCATGTCTAGTATTAAATGATATTACATATGTCACAAGGTTAATATTGCTCAAGTCAGAAGTTAATTACAACTATTAAAATAGTCACGCCATTTGTGTACAAACAGTGCAATGTATCAACGCGGACACTGACTAGATTTTATCGCCATATCAAAATGCATTGGAACCTATGTTCACCCATGTTTGGTTGTGGCTTAATGAATTGTCCATGCAGTTTTTGAACACTTGCTGCACTTACATTGCACATGCACTCCAAGCACACACAGTCAAAAAAACCTTCATTGAGCTGTACACCTACTCATATGGATGCAGTGATTTGTGAGGTTGAGGGATGCCAGCATACATCTCATGATTTGTACATTTTGTGTGATCATTTTAAATGGCACATAAGAGATGGAAAATATTACTTGCCTGTTTCCTAACTGAAAAACTTATTTTCACGTGAAATCATCTTTCACATTACACATCAGCAGAAAACATTAACGTGCTTTACAGAACCCTGCAAAGGTAGATAGTGATGCAGCAGGAAGTAAGCATGAGAGTGAGATCCATGAAAATTATACAGTCTCCACTGTGCACCCTGAGCTGGTCAAAGGGATTGATATAGTAAAATGTGTAATTCATTTTATGTGCTTTTTTGTTCTTGGGTCACTGCGACACCAGCAGATGTAGTTGACAGCTGTGGGGATTTATTTTTATCTTAACACTAATATCTCATAAAGTGCCCAAAAGTAAATTGCAGTAATACTGTAAATGGATAATACAGGAAAAGTGCAGTACAAGAAATTACAGTAAAAATACAGTACTAGTACTGTAAAGGAAATTACGGTACTACTATAAATGCACAATACAGTAAGGTTACTGTGATTTGTATTTACAGTAAGTTACTGGCATCCAGCTGCCAGCTAGTTGTTGTAGATTTTACAGCAACCTTTGTACAGTTTAGGCTTTCTTATCAGATGATGGAAAACTGGTCTTGAAGCATGCTAAGAGGTACTGCTCTGCAGAAAGTGCAATTTTATTGTGGTGGAACCAAGACAGTAAAAATTAAAAGGGAATTACAATGTTTTTTCAAATGTGCAGTATAGTTTTCATCTTCTTTTGCTGCTTATTCAGTGAATTTTGGTCGGTGAGTGATAAATCTTGCAGTTTTAGAATCTGTCAGCACTCAACCACATGTCCTTGGCCGCCAGGTGAACACAGACAAACGCGAGTACATCCTTTTGCAGAATCGGTTTGCCTGCTTTTTAATTGTTTGCTGTTTTACCCGTTTTGTGGTTTTTGAAATAGTTTTGTGAGCTTTTAGCTGAGATTCTGACATTTCTGTGGATATCACACATGTCTTTATTTAAACAATAGATCTGGCGGTACATCCCATTAAACCTGATGTTCTCCCTCTCCCCTCTGGTACCAGGACCATTGGGGTTCAACAGGTTAACTGTTTAATGCTAAATTACTGTTGCGCAGCGGTATTTATTGCTTAATTAAAAGCAGTAAAACTTATGAAAATACAATAAAAGTCCAAATGTAAACAATTTAAAAAATATAAATGGGCATACATTTAGGTCTGTGACACTCAGACACTGAGCCATGGATGTGCTACTACTAGGAAGAATACACATGAGGTTTAAGGCCTGGACAAGTTTGAAACCTTTTGTCCTCCTCTACAGTGGCCCCGAGAGGCCAAACGGACTGCAACTTAAGAAAACACCAGCAATAAGAAAAATGCTGCAAAAGCACACAAAACACAACAGAAATAGGAAAAACGACAACGGAAATGGGGAAAAAAAAAACAGATTTCCACAAGCACGAGGGAAGTGTTTCTGGGGAGACAATAACCCAATGTGTTTGTGTTGTTTTTGGATTGGATAGTTGAGTTGAGTGCCAAGGGGTACACGCTGGGCTATGGTGGACTCAGGTTGTATGCAGACCCTGGTCCACCAAAATGTGGTTCAGCCTGGAGCATTGTTGGAAGCAGAACTACATGTGTAGTTGGTGCCTTTAAAAAATATTATGTGGTGCTAGTAGAAATTAAAATAAAAAGCAAAACATCGGCTGCTGTTAGCTTCTGCCTTACACAACCCATAAATGTGGAAATGACTGGCCTAGATTTAATAAAGTGGTGGGACGATGTTTGCGGGTATGTTCAAAACACATTCAGACATGTGGTTTCGGTTATGCTTAGTGGTGATGTGAGGTTGTCCAGCAATGCTGCCGGAGAGGGGGAACCTGCGAGGCCTTTTCAGGAAGCCCACCAGTTCCCGTGATTAATTCCATCGGTCTCTTCTTCCCCTGGAGGCTGAAGTCCACTGACAAAGAAGCACTGACACTGTGGCGTTCAGTGCTTCTTTGTATGCTCCTGTGTGTTGGGGGTGCGTTCTGACGTACAAAAACAACAAACAACTGGACAAGCAGGTGAAAAACACCAGCTGGCTGGTTTCTCATGTCTTGTTTATAAACACTTAAACACAAGTATCTTAAAAATGCTGAGCTTAACCTATTATTTAAAAAAAAAAAACAGGCTTTTAAAAACCCACACAGTATGAATCATTTTTTAAATGACATGTTTTATGTACATTTTTACATTTACATTGTACTGTATGTATATACCTTTAGTTGCTGTATGACATGCTGCTGATCCCAGGATGAGGAGTTCTCTCGTATAACATTGAGAATGGGGTGCCAGTTCTCAGAGAGGTCTGTCCCTTCAGTGACAGAAGCCAGGACCTTGACCCGTTGGCCACTGTGGCTACGGGGAACACCTCGGGCATACAGGGACTGCTTCGCCACTTTACTGAGAGGGTTCAAATATAAACTGCACAAAGACATGGACAAAAAAAATTCTGTAGGGCTTGCATGAAAGACTGCATGCTTTTAGTGTGTCTCTGAGGCCTTTTGAATTTCACCATATGTAGTCCATTTTAAAATGTTCTTGGTCTCACTCACAGGAGTAATAAATTGATAAATTCTATCAATTATCTGATGACACAATATCAGGATTCCCAAAAGGTTGATTCTGTTCATCTGGACGTAGCGTTTTCAGTGGGAGAAATGTTTTGTCACTCATCCAAATGACTTCTTCTGTCTGAGGAAGACAAAATGTTTCTCCCACTGAAAACGCTTCGTCCATATGAACAGAATCAACCTATTGGGATTTACTTACCTGGACTTACAACTTACATTACGCATGCATCAAAACAATATCAGGGTTTATAATTTAATATATGCCAAACTGTAAGTAAGGTGCTTTTTTCATGTTACGAAAACTGTCAGTGTTCTATGAAAAAAATAAATAAATATTTATAATGCAAAAAGGACAGTGGAATCAGAATTTATTTATAATGTGGTCTATGCAATACAACATTATAGCACAACTAAACCTCAAAGAAATGTTGAGCTTTGGATATAGTGAGAAGTTTCTTACTGTACAGTCTGAATGCTGGGATGTTCTCTACAGGCATCTACCAGAAGTAGAGCTGCGTCGTCTCCAATATTGTTATAGGCCACGTTGAGCTCCTGGAGTCTTCTGTGTTGTTGGAGCCTCTTAGCCAGATCCAGGACACCCTCATCCCCCAGTCCAGTGTGCATCAGGGACAAGTTTGTCAGGGACTGATTCTCTGGCAGGGCTTCCACCAGGATTTGGACTCCAGACTCCATAAGAGGGTTGTCACACAATCTGAAGAACACAATGGAATAATATGGCATTTCTGGTTTGGTCTACGACTAAGAATAAACTCCATGTGCAAATGAAGATGTTAACCAGGGCTTCGTAGCAAAAATATAGGCTAATGACTGTAACTCCGGTCAGTAGCTAATTGCTGATCGGTTTAAAAGAGCAAACTAACATTTCAATTGACATCATTTTCAGTTTGCTAAATGTCTTTCTTCCACATTAATTATATATGGGAAAGGTTTATCACTGTGTAACATCCCCTCTTCTTTTAACAACAGTGTTTGACTCAACATTGAGCAAAGTCTAAATCAGAGGAAAGTCACATACTGTTCTACCTGTACGATTGCTTCACATTCACTTATTGTTACTTTCAGTGTCAATTCTAATGACCTGGCCATTGGATTGTGGTTTATTTATTATTACTTTTTTCCATTATGTCATAAAAAAGAGAAAAAAAGAACAACATGTACAGAGTAAATTTGATTATTAACCATTGACATGTCAAACATAAGTCCAAAGATATAATATCCAAAGATATAAAATTTCATAGACTGACAAATTTGACTCTTTTTGGAAGGTGAAGTTCAACTTTAATATTACACTGTAGAGCACCCTTAAACTGTGGATCAAGGTCCAGCTTGTGTGCCATTATATTGTTTTGAAGAAGAAAAAAAGAAGAAATCAAAACAAAAAGAAAATGAACACGGTGCTTGTCATTATCAAAACTTTTCCCAACAAATGGCCGTTAACACATCAAACAACTCAGAAAGATTACACTTAAACCTGTGGTGAGTCACAGGTTTAAGTGTAATCTTACAGGTGAGTCTCTTTACGGTCTTCAGACTTCCCTGAGACAACCTGGGAAAACATGGATTCACTAAATTTATGACTCTGTTATTAAGCTTAGCTGAGCTGAATTCTTAATTCTGTCTGTTATTTTGACTGTCTCCCAGATTAGGCTGGTAGCTTTTAGTTTTATGTGTGCCAAATAAGAAGCATCATTTGATATAACCCCCCCCCCAAAAACAAGACAAAACAAAACATAATAAACAGCTGTCAAACAAAGCATAAGACACCTTAACAAAGGTTGACCTATTCAGTCCTGATCAAAAGTTTAAAACCACCATATTTTGCATGGTTGGATCTTAACAAGGTTCCAAGTAGGGCTGCGACATGCTACAAGAAGAAATGGGAGAGAGACAAAACATTTTTTTCAGCATGCAAATTTATTAAAGAACGAGACGAAAGCGCGTTGCTAGGACTGATCTGAGGCAAATTTCATTTCGAAAGACTACCCAACAGAAGCCTTGATAAAAGCGTGATTTTGTGCAAAGTGTGCAAAAAAGAATTTGCATACCACCAAAGTACTTCAACCTTATGGTACCATCTAAATGCAAAACACGTTGATGCGAACAAAGAAACTGTGGGAGCTGTTAGCGCTAGCAGTCCCAGTTTGAGTACCAACAAAAGGTGTAGGCAGCCCAAACGTGATGAAATGACTCGTTTCAGGAACAAAATTAGTAAGTCAACATCGGAGAAACGTACAAATTCTCTTCCAAAATAGATTACTCTGGACTGTAGACCACTATCAGTGGTAGAACATAGGAGGTTAGAAAATGTGCTACTGTTAGCGTCATGAGATCCAACTTTCCAACTAACTATTTCAAGTAAAAACCAGCAGCTTAATGACACTGAAAAGCAAGCAAAATAGATGCATTACAGACAGCCCTGCTCATATGGAGGAACTACACCAGGAGCAAACAAGACTGGGGCAACAGAAAGAGCCACTCATACAGGATTTTTCCACACGATGGAATTCAATGCTGGATACGGTTTCTGCTAAAGAATCAAGAGGCTGTTTTTGCTGCTTTAGACAAACAAAGCACAAGCTAGTCATTTTAACTCCATCAAAGCTGGTAAAACTCCAAAAGCTGGTAACTGTTCTTGAGCCATGCAGGTATTTAAAACTAGTTTTTAACTTATTGTTACCGTTTCTTCAAAAAGCTCTATAGTTGACAGTTATTGTGTAGATTAATAATAATCTTGGAGGTGAGACATATGTCTCATGTTCAGTGGTTTTATCTTCTGCCACCTGCATCACACCATGGAGGTCTCCAATGATGACTCAAACACATGGTGAAATTTATTCTGCCTTTGTAAAAGACCTATCTCAACCTGTAGCTACACGCAACCATCAGTGGCTCAAGATAGCTACTGTGCTTGACCCACGCTTTAAGGATTTATATTGTTTTGCAAGGGGAGCAAGAAGAGGTTTGGACCAGCCTTGAGGCCCTGCTGCCTCAGTGTAAAGACGCCACCACAAAGGAGCCAGCAAAGACAAACAGCCTCCTCTCTTCATTGTCTTCAGACTGATGCAGATGAGGAAGCCCTGTGTAACGGGCCCTGAATTTGTACAGAGCAGGATCCACCATCAGCGAGAAAGACTGCTTGCTGAAGTGGTGGTCCAGGCGAGAAGGGACCCACCCACAGCTGTCTGTCATAGCCCACAAGTATTTGATTAGTCCTGCCACTTCTGTCCCATGTAAGAGAGACTGTTCTAACTTGCAGGTCACATAGTAACAAAAAAGAGAGTTGCCTAGAGCTCTGAAAATCTGAACAGTTTAGATTGTCAAAGTAACTGGCTGAAAGAGACAGACGGTAAATAAGCATGGAGCTATTATGAATCTAATGGGTTTGGGGGGTTTTTGCACTAAAATGTTCAATGATCACATTGTTTTAACCTAATGTACAAAATAATTTTGGCTAAGGATACTCAGTTTAAAGCTGTTCAACCTTTTATGTTTCTACCTTATTTGTTTAAGAAGAAAAATTGCACCTTATGTTGAAATTTTTATTATTATTATTTAAATACAATACCATTTTAAAAATGTACTTAAAGTACTTAAAATAACACTATTTTAATTGTGCCCTGTTTTGGCTAGTGATATTATTTTTGTTTCTCTGTTTTTTCAATTGAAATGCAGTTTAAAGAGCTTGAGTTTATAATATTCATGACCATGTCCATGAATATGGTCACCCACTAAAACCCTTTTTAATTAAAAAAAACAAAAAACATATGCGCTTTGGGGCATATTTTCTTGTCCAATTAATTTATTACTATGCCCATAATTATTTGGCTTAATTTTTTTTTAATAAAGTCCCACCCCTAAACTCCTTGGAATTCAAGTTTCAATTGATGTTCTGGCATTCTAGTAGTGTCTTACTTGTACCGTGTTTGCAGTTGCAATGTAAAACCAAGTTGTGCAACTTTTTCTTAATCTTTCCAATACTTATGCATTTTCAAATTATGCAATCAAATTCTGAAATCTATTACATTAAATTATAAAATTAAAAGACAGTGCCAAAGTAAAGACGTGACTCATTTGGTTACATACATTTGGGCTAAAAACATCAAAACTGGAATAAAAGTAGAGTCTTACTTCAGAGATCTAATAACACCCCTGGGATCTAGCAGTAGGTCTCTCAGCAGACTGCAGGACTCAGGACCAAGGGTGTTAAACTGCAGACTGAAGACAACAGAGACAATTACATGCACACACACACATACATATACATACAGTGGGGCAAAAAAGTATTTAGTCAGCCACCGATTGTGCAACTTCCCCCACTTAAAATGATGACAGAGGTCAGTAATTTGCACCAGAGGTACACTTCAACTGTGAGAGACAGAATGTGAAAAAAAAA